TGAGTTAATCCACGTAGCTCATTCATTCAACAAATATTAATTGTCCATCTGAATAATGAAGATGGTCTGCCAAAAAAATAAATAAGTAAACCTTTTGGTTTTAATGAAGTAGATACCATAATTTTTTTTTTCTAGCTAGTTGACCAAGGTGTTTATTTCTTCCTCCAATGTCAAGATCTATTATGTGCCAAGTGCTGAAGACACAGTATTAGTATTTTGCTAATAGTCTAGAAGAGGATTGCATGAAGACAGGTGATAAAGTATCATGAAGGGTATGAGATACAGCTATGGTGGGCCCGCTGAGGAAACTTTGAATCTGAGATCTGAAAGACAAGTAGGGGTTAACTTTTCTTTGTGGAGAGCAGGGGGTGGAGTGGAGACAGAGACAACTGTTCCAGGCAGGGCAAGCCTATATGAGACCAAAACTGAAAAGGTTAAGATGCAAACAGAAAAATGGTGAGAGAAGTCTAGTGAGGGGAAGATTTTCGAGCTTGAAAAATATAAGGATTTTCTCTTAAGTGCAGCAGGACTCCATCACTGAATTTTACAGAAGACATGATCTGTATTCAAGACATCTCACTCAGATCCATGGGGTTGAGATCTGAGGAAAAAGCCAGACAACTGGTTGGGAAATATAATATCCAGAATACAAACGACAGTGGGCAAGACAAGGGTAGTGCAGGAAGGAATGATTTATTCATTCAATAAATAAGAGCTCCATGTGCCAGGCGCCCTACTAAGGTATTGAGGAGTCTAGTGGGGGAAATACATTAACCAAACAAGCAATAAGGACAAAATATAAAATATTATATTCAAGTCACAAAAAAGAAACAAATGATGCTATGAGAATGAGAAACAAGAGAAGCCTTTCCTTTAGGAAAGCTTTCTCTTGAGGAAGGGTCACCTGAACTAAATTCCGAAGGTTGAGTGGAAGCTAACTGAAGGGCATGGGGGGAACAGATGGAAATAATCTTCGGGAAGAATAGCATTTACCAAGAAACAGTAAGGCAGGCAATGTGGCAGGACACTAGGGGCAAAGGAGGATATGATTAAGATGAAGCTGGAGAGTGGGTTGGGACTAGACTGTGCAGCATTAGTATTTTGGTCTTTATCCTAAGAAGCAGGGGAAGGCAGCAAAGTGTTTTAAGCGGGGGGGTGACAATGAAAGCATCAAATCTGTGCTTTGGAAAGACTGCTGTGGCACACTGGTAAATGTGGGGAAGTAGGGAGAACTACCAGTGCAGAACAGCAGGAAGCTGCTGGGAGGTGGACTGTGGAGACTGTGGTGGGGTTTCTGGCTTGGGTTTCTTAAATACACTCTGTGTGGATGGCGGTAAGACCATATCATCTCACCATAAGGTGTTTGCATCTTCTTAGTCACTAGGGCAAGAATAGGTCATTTTGTATCATACATCCTTGTATCACACATTAAACTGCTGAGGAATTGGATTGAGGAAGGAGGATGGTATAAAGAGGGGGAACATTTATAGTTTTCACCTTCAACATTTCTGTATTTGGTATTTTTATAATGAAAACATAAATACAAATATAAGCTTAAACATCAGATATAGAAGTCCCATCAAATTATTTTAAGTGGGAGGAAGCTAGGATTATCTTGTTTTATACCACTAAGGCTCAGTTTTGACCCCTAAAGAGCCTACTCCCACTCATCCTGCTTTTCAGAACCAATCTGCAATATGCGGTTGGAAGATTAAAACCGTGGAATCTACGAACCGATAGGTGTGTGCTATCAGCAAATATTTTAATTTATGGTTACAAAATTCAGTAAATATTTCAAAAAAATCTTAAATTGCTCTTTTTTTCAGTAAAAGCCTAAAATGATCAATAGAGAGCTGAGACTAAATCATGCTTCTTCCTCAAAAAAGTATCAACCAACCACAAAGACTCAGAAAGAAGCAAGCTAACAATTACTTTGGACAAGACATTCAACGAACTGATGGCTGTGTAGCTTTGTGGAGATGAAGAATTGTTCTTTTTCTAAATAGATACAATTGAAGTCCTTATCTAGGAACCTAAGTCTCAAAGAGTTAAACATGTAAGCATTAATGTCCAATAGCGTAGGATTTATATGACTCTGGGCAACAAACTCTTTGCTACGTGGAGGAGATGTCTAGAAAACTATCAAATGTGCACTTAGCAGAATCTTGAGATTCTGCCAGCATTAACTCATAACCACATTCGAACATGGAATCTAGACCTTTTCCATTCAATAATCATTTATCTTTTCATTTGCATTATTAACCAGTCTTTTAAGTTTTACACTCTACTTCTATTATTTAAGATAACATTTAGAACACTGCATATTTTTTTCTTGCCTCTCACTAATATGGGTATGGAGTCTAAAAAGGGATACAGGAAAAGCAGAAATGAAAAATTACACATTACAAAACAAGATCAGTGTTTGCTTGCTAATATATAGCAGTGACAGGTTTAAAAAATGGCACTGTCAGCAACTGTTCAGAGCTGTACAAAGCACTTTCATGCCCATTATTCCTCAGACACCTTTTGAGCCAGATTCTCACTCCTGTCACAGATGAGCAATCATAGCCAGATTCCTAACAACTTGTCAAAATTTATATAGTCTTATCTTGACTTCTGTACTCTTTTTTTCAACCAATGCAGTAGGGACAGAATGTGTTGCAAAGCAGCAAACTAGAACTATCTTAGACAAGTATACAAATACACACACATAATGGGGTACATTATGGAACTTTCTATGGTCTGAATGTGTCTTCCTCCAAAATTCATGTTGAAATCCTCACCCCCAAGGTGACAGTATTAGGAAATGGGGCCTTTGAGAAGTGTTAGGTCACAAGAGTGGAGCCCTCATGAATGGGATTAGTGTCCTTAAGAGAGAAACCCAGAGAAATCTGTGATGTAAGGTCACAGAGAGAAGAGAGCTGTCTGTGAGGAAGGAGGACATCACCAAACACTGAATCTGCAGGTGACTTATCTTGAACTTTCCAGCTTCCAGAACTGTGAGAAATGTTTCTGTTGTTTAAAGCCACCTGGACCATGGTATTTTGCTATAGTAGTCCAAATGGTCTAAGAACTCAAGAACAGGGAAGGATAGCCAAGTCTCCCTGGAGCCCACTGTGAGACCTGGCAGTCCCCTCTGCATGTCTGATTCTCTGTCATCTTCTTATCCACATCCTTCGCCCTCTAGTTTTTCCATGCCACACCAAGACCACAGTTTCCAGCATGGCACAAAAGTTCAAAGGGCACATTATTCATTCAGCCCTAGAATGAATAATGGGCCTGAAATCTCAGTTGGAGTTCTAAAATTCCTGGGACACATCTGAACAACTAAGCTTGGGTGAGAGGGGTAACTCTACTCAACTGACTAAAGGAAATTATCAGAATCGTAATAGAAATGAAGTAAAATCATGGGTACCATGTTAGACCAATCTGACCAAATCAATGATTGCAAATGTTGTGAAGAAGTATCAAATGTTTTACTAAGATGATTATACAAAAACCTTTAAAAATGCAAATGAAACCATTATATTTAGTAAAGTGTTAAGTCTGGATGCCTGGGAGTCTGGAGGCTGCCTGCCACACTGGACTGTGATGAAAGCACATTCCTACTACATGAAGCCAGTGAGATGTTGGGATTATTATTATTTTTATTTTTTTGAAACGGAGTTTCACTCGTTACTCAGGCTGGAGTGCAATGGCGCGATCTTGGCTCACCGCAACCTCAGCCTCCTGAGTAGCTGGGATTACAGGCACACACCACCGTGCCCAGCTAATTTTTTGTATTTTTAGTAGAGACGGGGTTTCACCATGTTGACCAGGATGGTCTCGATCTCTTGACCTTGTGATCCACCTGCCTCGGCCTCCCAAAGTGATGGGATTACAGGCTTGAGCCACCATGCCCGGCCCGATGTTGGGATTATTACTGCAGTTCAGCTACCCCAATACTGCATTACCACCATAATCAATGAGAAAACAAACTAAGCTCCCTCCAAAATGCAAACCTTCAATATAAGGTCTTCTAAAACCTAATCCCATGCACCTCACATTCTAAAAGTATCACTGACTCTCCTAAATGTTTTCCAAAGTACCTAGACCTGTTCTTCTCCCTCACATTACTGATCCCAATGTAGTGCAACTGGTTGTCAGTCTCTTTTCCTAGATTGTGAGTCTCCACGATGGCAGTGGCCTTTTTGCTTCTTTGCAGATGTATCTTCAACACAGTATCATATGTTGGGCATATAAAAGATGCTTAATGAATAATATGCTCCTAAATGTTCACGTCTCCCTGAAAATTCATGAAATTTTAGAGCCTGGAGAGTAGGAAAAATCAGTTCTCATTTTATTGACACATATTCTCTTCTAAAATGGTTAACTCCTGAATACCCAACTCACTGGCTTAAAGCTCTGACAATATTACTGAAATGAAATGAGGAGTGAAGAGCCATGAGTAAATAATATCCTTTTGATTAGAATTGGTTTCTAGACCACATCCTTTAAGACTGTGAAAATTTAAAAACTGTGATCTGCTAAAGTCAGAAGTGACATTTTTTGTCTTAGGAATCTGAGGTGAAATGAATCATAGGTATTTTAAATGGGGGTGGATTCAGAATCATTTCAGAGAGGAAGCAACCTTGGAGATATAAAAATCATCATTAACTCAAAATATTCCATTTGTGATGGGGGCATTCTCAGAGAAGCACAGCATTTTATGTTTCTTGGAAACTTTAGGCTTTAATAGCCCTTCCATAAAAAATAAAAGCATTTTATATCAAACATCATTCAGGGTTGAGGCTTAAATGTTACTTTAATAGCATCCACAAAGAATCTGGTTTAGTTATTAAAATGACTTATTTTTATTTAAAGAAAAATCTATGGTTTTACTCACTGTATATATAGAAGTGAATTTTTAAAAAAGTTTCTTCCTTTATGTGGACTCTCTTAAGACATGAAGAACCAAGCTACTCTTTGGTTTTATTATATGGGAAAAACCACACACAGTCTAGTTAAACAACTTTGTGATATTTATATTCCATTGCACAGATATGGGTTATACAAATTAGTAACACAAGTTATTTCTTAAATTCCAAACATTTTCTAAAATATTATTACAGCAGATGCCTAGGATATTGAAACAAAGGTGGAAATCATTCTCTAAATAGTTAAATGTGACACTGAAAATACTGAACATTTTAATTAGAGGAAAATTAAAATGTGTGCTCAAATGCTCTAAGAAACTAGGTAGCAGGGCAACTAACAACTACAAATAAGTCACGGTGGTCCATTTTTATGTATGCGTATATATGATTATTCTCTTAGATAATCTATCTTCTTAAAAATGCTAATAAAACATAAAAATCCAGATAAATGATTTCTTCCTACTACCTAAGGTGATGTGTACTATTATCTATGACTTCATACAGTTACTAATTCAAATGTAAAAGACACCACACTTAGAAAGAAAAAAATTTTAAGGTAATGGTTTTAATTGAATTAATGAGATGAAAGATAGTAAAGCCCTGTTTGCTACTTACATGAAGGAAGATTTTAAAAAATAATCACTGCACAAAATGTAAAGGGTGGGTTATGTTGTGGTATTAATTTTCCTCAATAATGTTTTTCTAGACGGTTCAAGAACAAATTAAAGTTTCCACAGCAAATTTGTTTTCGAAATGCCGAATTGTGAAACAATTGCTGGCCTCACGTTTCTGAATACCTGTTTGAGAAGAAAAAGGTTTTTTAAAATTTTGGTTCTTTAGTAATAAATATTCACATAATCTTTATAGTTTAGACATATAGAAATATTTCACTCTATACTCCACAAAACTTCTACAGTTTGAATCTGTTTACACTGAAGAAAAAGCTTTTCTCCCTTTCTGAACTAAGTATTAAACATCTTGACAGATCATAGCAACATTAATAATACTATACAGATTGCTTACAAATTCATGAACTTGAAGGTACTGAAAATGTTCTGTGGAGGGGATGGAAGCAGCAAACCACATTGCCATGTATGCACTTATGCAACGATACTGCATGATCTGTACAAGTACCCCAGAACCTAAAGTACAATTTAAAAACATATATAAAGGAGAAAGAAAATGTTCTGTATCTTGATTATGGTGATATTTGCAAGACCACGTGTATCTTTGTGGTATAACTCAGAATTGCACACTTAAAAAGGGCAAATTTCATTGCATGTGTAAGTCTGACTTAAAAAAATTATAAATCAAGAATTTTAAAATGTAAGAAGTCAACACAGCCATAAAAAAGATGAAATCATGTCCTTTGTAGCAATATGGATGCAGCTGGAGGTCATTATTATAAGTGAATTAACACAAAAACAGAAAACCAAATACCTACCTTATAATGCTCTCACTTGTAAGTAGGACTGACATAAAGAAGGGAATAATAGATACTGGGGATTATAAGGAAAAGAGGGAGGAGATAAGGGTTGAAAAACTACCTACTGGATACTATGCTCACTACCTGAGTGATGGGATCATTTGTACCCCAAACCTCAGCATCAGATAACATATCCTTTGTAACAAACCTGCACATGTACCTCCTGAATCAAAAATAAAAGTTGGAAAAAAAAAAGAAATCAAGCGGGTTTCGGATGACTCAATGGCCGGAGATGAAAGAACCGTATTATTTAAAATGCTAGCAAAAAGCCAGGAAAGCACTTATACTGGGTGACACAATTCCAAAGAAATCATACCACAGTGTATGTGAATGGCATTTCTTACTTTCCACAGCTGCCACATGTACTTTTTATTTTCACAATGATCTTAAAAGGAAATGAGGAGATATTGTAATCCTTATATTTCGGGTGAGAAAATAAAGGTTAAAGGTTAAATGATTTGGCAAAGCTGTATTAGTTGTTTCAATGCTCTTAATTCCTCATCCAAATTCCTTTCCAACCAATCTGACAGTGATTATTCCCAATGTCATCCAGAAGACAAACAGGCTGCTTAGAATCCAGATCCCTGAGAATACAGCTGAAGAGATGGTCCCAAGAGACCCTCTGGATAATAAAAACCCTTTCAGTATGGCTGAACCAAAGTGGTAGGATGGGAAGTTGGACAGGGTAACTAGATGGAAAGTGAGGTACCAGCATCTCAAGGCAATGACATTTCACATTGACCTTTTCTCTCCATCTGAAAAGAGTGAATTTATTAAATAGAATTAAGGTAATTCTATAGAAACCTGGAAATATTATATGATGACACAATATTATCTCATTCATGGCAAGTACATTGGTAACAATGACTAGGCTTCACCTAAATCTAGTTTAATGCAGTGAACTTTTCTGCCAAATACTTTAATATTTAGAAAGTATTACCTCTAACAGTTTCTCTGCGTTGCAGTTTGTAAGTTTCCTTGTCATGACACAGTCGATAAATAAAGAAACCCAGGGGATCAATGTTTTCAATGCGATCAGTAATAACCATGTGCTCATGAATCAGATAGGACTGAGGCAAATAAGTTCCAGCCTACATTCAGAAAAGAATACATGACATAACTATCCCAGAATATACAATGAGTAGACTAGAGTAACAAGACAAAGTTCTTATACATTATGATACGGAACAGGTTGCCAAATTACTACCCACTATCTGTTTGTTTTATGTTCTTACTATGTTGCCTAGACTGGTCTCAAATTCCTGGCCTCAAACGATCCTCCCACCTTGGTCTACCAAAGTCCTAGGATTATAGGCATGAGCCACTGCCTTCGGCCTGGTTTTATAAGTGGAGTTTTTTCTGGAATATAGTCATGCTTATTTGTTAACATATTTTCTATGGCATCAGAATTGAGTAGTTGGCTAATATTTACTCTCTGGCTCTTTAAGAAAACTTAAATCATTATTTGAGAAATTATATTTCAATTTTAAGATATGAAACATAACAAAACCCACAAGTATTAGTTCCTCCTTGTAAAATTCTTAACAAGAGTTTGCTAAAAATGGGCTCCTACAGGGCTAATTTCTCAACAGGGAATTCCAAAACACTATAAAGGCATCATTCATCAAAAATAGTCAACATTCTTATACCTTGATGTTAATAAGTAACTCCAATAGGTTTCTGGGTGGCATAACAATGGAAGTGTTCAGAGGGATCACATAGCACTTATCCAGGTTAAGATCTAAATAGGCTGTGAGTTTCTAAGGAGAAAAAGATACAGTATAGTTAGAGTAATACTTGTACAACAGGAAGCAACTAGATTTTTAAGAATAATTTATACCATTGAAGTGAATTGGCTTTAGAATGTATAAATCACTTACATTTCATCAGAATTTGGCTGAATAAAGTTGGAAGTGGGAATGGGACAGGAAAAAATATTGCTACCAGTAAATAAAATACTTATCATGGGTATATTTCTATAATAAGAATAATACCTATTCAAATTAACTGCAAATACTTATTATATAATTAAGCAATTTAACTTCCTCACTTAGAAGCTCAAGTGCCCTCTAAGGTATCTGTCCATTGCATGTAAAGATTGACTTTTCTCGCACGTATCTTGAATACTACACTACCATCTTTAGAACAATGGAAAAACAGTCATTTAAATGATTTTGTGTTCTGTGGTTCAAATGAGAAACGCTGGTTGAGAAAGACTGTCTCATAGGATGGTTTTTAAGAATAAGGTAAACCAAACAATGTCAACATTTTGATTACTAAGAGCTCAGTGTTAGCTATTATTATTTACTGTTTGCTTTGGATGTTTATTTCCTTGAAGTAAATTTTCAAACTGGTTTAGAAACATCCATCAGACGTATTTATCAGGGACAAAATGTTTGCAAAGCTAACTGAGTAATGTAATGGAGTGTTCAAAATGGCAAGCTTACAGAGAGACATAAAAATCACAGGTGATACATAAACTTCTGAATCTCTGAATCCTTATTTGAAAACACAAAAAATATTCTTGGGACAAAAATTGGGAAAATTTAAACATGAACATAAATTTAAACATATTAAATACAGTAGTCCCTCTCATCTGAGGTTGTATTTCCTGAGTTTCAGTACCTTCCGTACCTACCTACCTTCAGTTAACTGCCGTCCACAAACCTAGGTAAGTACAGTATAAGTATTTTGAGAAACCACCTTCACATAACTTTTATTATAGAATTTTGTTATAACTGTTTTATTATTAATTATTGTTAATCTATTACTGTGGCTAATTTGTAAATTAAATTTTAACATACATATACATGGACACTAATAGGAAAAAACATAGTAATTAGGGTTTGGTACTATCTGTAGTTTCAGACATCCACTGGGGGGTCTTAGCATACATCCCCCATGGATAAGAAAGGACTGCTGACCTACATGATAGTGTCAATTTTCTTAGATGTGATAATGATGTGGTCACGTAGGAGAACATCTCATTTTCGAGAGAAAACAGCATAAGTAACTTATGTTAAATGACAGAAAAAGAGATGAAGCAAATATGGCAAATTTTGGAACAAAGTGGAAGATTTTGGGTATTCAACTTTTCTGCATTACATAAAAATGCTCAGAAGCTAGGGAAGAATGTAGAATGAGAAATTAAAAACAGATTAACAAAATTATTGACTTTGAAAATGCTACCAAAAGACAGAAACATAAATTACCTCTTATCTAAGAAAATGTGGGAGCATACAATAAAATATTAATTTGCTGGCAAAGGAGGAATAGTCATGAGGTGGGCTTTAAGAGTAGGTAAGGCAAGGAGAAGGAAAAGACAACATAAGAGAAGCTTGCGTCATCAGGGTCTGCTTCAGACAAAGCACCAAATGCTGACAATTAAACTCTAAATATAACAAATTAGCAAATATTGCAATTAGAACTACAAAAAGCATAAAGAACTTGCATTCTTTCTACAATTCTGGATACTTGGCTCACCTTGTTAAAGTCATGAACAATGTTGGCAGGATCACTATCTGCAAACTCTGGGACAGGCACACTGATAAATTCAACCTCCTCTTCTTCAAAGATTTTAATATTTTCTTCAATTGTCTGGTATCGAGCAGCTGGGGCATCGGCAGAGGGCTCATTTAAGATGACATCATCTTTGATGTACTTTATTCCACAGTAGTAAACGTCATCTGGCTATAGAGAGTTCAAAGACTCATTTCAGCAATTCAGCATGAGACAGGTTTTTAAATACAAGTATTACTTAAGCTGCCACCTCTATCCAAATAGCATTTTGCTTGCAAACTCTTGCTTTCAGATGACAAGTCAGACAGTTTAATTACACAGTTAACATATTCTTTAAGATCAGGTTTTGAAGTACTGTAAAAGAACAGCTTCAGAAGAAGAAAAGCAGCTGGTTTTCCCTTTACTTTTCATGACAGATGAAAAGAGAACACAAAAATAATTAGCCATCCAGTAACAAATAAATATAAAGAAACAACAGACCTACTCTACCTGTAAGCAGTTTTTATAAAAGAATATATTTCAAAAGTAGTCATGTTTTTCTGAAAGAATATATTTCAAAGTTTGGATATAGTCTACTGATGAAATCATTTTTTTCTTGTTAGCCAAAAAAGGGATGAATTTTCTGAAATTTCTATATGCATACAGGTAGTTCAAATTTTCCCTTTATATCACAATTCAGTGGAAAATATTAGATTACAGCAAATCTTTATGCTACTGTCTCACTTTTGAAAAAAGAAAAAACAGTATGTAAGGTCTGGTGCAGTAATTCACGCATGTAATCCTAGTACTTCGGGGTGGTGGGGGCAAAGGCTTGAGGCAGGTAGACTGTGTAAGCCCAGGAGTTCAAGACCAGCCTGGGCAACATGGTGAGACCCTGTCTCCACAAAAAAATAAAAAATTAGCTGGGCATGGTGGCACACACCTGTAGTCCCAGCTACTGGAGAGGCTGAGGTGGGAGGATTGCTTGAACCCAGGAGGATGAGGCTGCAGTGAGCTGTGATCATACCACTGCACTCCAGCCTAGGTGACAGAATGAGACCCCATCTCAAAAAAAAAACAGTACATGTATACACACACACACACACACACACACTCTACACACACAACAAAGACTAAACGTATATAATGCACCAAATGTTATCTCTGGAAAATGGAATTGCACTAATTTTTTGTATATCATATGTCTTTCTCGTAAAAAAAAAAGTATTAAAAAAGATGACTAGTATTTTAGGAATTTCCATTAACATGCGATTATCTTGAACAATACAGAAAATGAGCATGAAATTTAGAATGCTTCAAAATTAGTTATTTAAATTATTTTAATAAGTCTAGTTGCTAAACCTTGAAAGTAATTTTTCCTTCAAAACTCAAAAAAAAAAAACTTCTGAATTATTGCCAACAGAAATATATCACAAATGGACTGTAAATCATAATTGATCAGTAGAAAAACCTTTGTCTTAGCCCACTGGGATTACTATTAAATATTCAAAGTTATAAACAACTTTCATCCTATGTTATATTTCAATATCACTGCTGAAATCACCAAGTTCTTCAGAGAAACCAGTGACTGGAAAAGAAGCAGAAACATGGTTTTACTATACTCTGGGCCCAAGAGTACAGTAGGACCATGGGGGAGCCCAAGCTGACTATCAAATTATGGCCTATCAACATGAGAACATTTGTGGCTGATGTATTTATTCAATTGGCAATTGATAATACTATGCCTCTCAACCCTTAATTACAGTTAGGAAAATAAAGTTTAGTAAAATCACCCAACAACCTAAATAAATCCTTTAGTCAGCAACATTTTAAAACAAGTTACTCTGCTTTAGTGACCTGTGTCTGATGGGCTCAGCAAACATATCATGGAGAGATGTTTAAACACAGCTTTAAAACAGAACTACCACTCTGGCTGAAGGCTGTAGACAAAAAGTACAAGCTTAAAGCAAGTTATAAATAATTTTGTAATGCATGTCAGGAAAGGCAAAAAAAAAAAAAAAAAAAAGAGAGACACAAGTAATTTTTCCACTTACTTGAAGTGCAAAATATTTGTAAAGGTATGCTCCTCCTAGAATAACACCTGCAAGCATAAATGCTAGTCCAAAGCACATACACCAACACCAGGCTCTTCTCTGGCCAACTGGTACCACATCATCTGGGTCCTAAAGTATGAAAAAGACAGTTAAATATTTTATCTCCAGACAGAATAACAGAAGGCTTAGAAGTGGAAAAACCTTAAGGATTATCATTTTAATAAATGAAGACATAAAGACAAAAGTAGTTGGGTCTCTCATCAAAATCAACCCAAGAATGATTAAGTGGTAGCTCCAGGACTCATGGTTCTTGGGCTGGGACATCGGTCTCTAGGAGAGTTGTCTACTTCTAATCTCAACACCCCACCTGCTAACCCTGCCTCAAGCAATGATACACTCCACAATTTTTATTTTCCATGCATAACTTTTGGCGATATCTTCTAACATTTAATAATTTAGAAGAGGTTATTCTACAACTTAGTCATACAACATGATGATAAGTCTTTTAAATTATAAATCCAAGGAGTCTATCTGATCATTTATAAAATTATGTGTTAGCCCTGCTACAGGTGGTTTATACTTTATACCAGGTATAAAACTATTCTTTTTTTTTTGAGACGGAGTTTCGCTCTTGTTACCCAGGCTGGAGTACAATGGTGTGATCTTGGCTCACCGCAACCTCTGCCTCCTAGGTTCAGGCAATTCTCCTGCCTCAGCCTCCTGAGTAGCTGGGATTACAGGCATGTGCCACTGTGCCCAGCTAATTTTTTGTATTTTTAGTAGAGACGGGGTTTCACCACGTTGACCAGGATGGTCTCAATCTCTTGACCTCGTGATCTACCGCGCCCGGCCCAGGTATAAAACTATTCTAAACAATCCACAAGAAAAAATTACAGCAAAGTAAGGAACAAAACAAATAATGATACTAAAATTATTTAAACAATTGGAATTTTTAAAAATAGGACAAAATTACATACATAGAAATAATCCTATTATCCCACTGCTCTACCCTAAACCATGGTCTGATATGATTCTTCAATTTATTTTAAAGACAGGAGCCATAGAAAAAATGAGAAAATGTTCAATGATAAAAAGCTACTTATAAATTCAAGAAACAAACCTAGCACACAATAGAATTTTCAGTTTTATCCACTTAAGAAAACAATTTAGCATTAGAACATTATTTGGGGTCATGACATTCATAATTCCTAGATATTCCCTCCCTGTGCCCTTCTAACCTGATCCCTCTATCCTGTCCCTCTAGAATTACAGAGAATTTCTGATTCATACCCAAGTTCATGTGCAAAGCACTAAGAAAACCAAGATACTTAAATAAGTAATCACTCAACAAATAGTAAAGACTGCAAAAAATTCATGGTATACATGAACAGCCTCTTGAAGTACATGACTGTCCTTTACTTGGAAAATCCAATATGGGTAGCTTAAGGGAGAAAGTAAGACTTCAGCTGGCCAGAAACCATGGCTCTGCACTTTGGGAGGCTGAGGTGGGTGGATCACCTGAGGTCAGGAGTTCGAGACCAGCCTGACCAACATAAAGAAATGCTCTCTCTACTAAAAATACAAAATTAGCCGGGTGTGGTGAGGCATGCCTGTAATCCCAGATACTCGGGATTACTGAGGCAGGGGAATCACTTGAATCTGAAAGGTGGAGGTTCCAGTGAGCCAAGATCATGCCACTGCACTCCAGCCTGGGCAATAAGAGCAAAATTCCATCTTAAAATAAAAAAAAATTAATTAAAAAAAAAAAAAAAGAGTAGGCTTCACCTAAACCTATATAATAGGATATAAAATTAGGAAGAAAAACTATGAATGATGTACAAAAACAGGATGAGTCTATTGGAACAGCGGTCCACAGCCTTTTTTGGCACCAGGGACCAGTTTCATGGAAGACAATTTTTCCATGGACAGAGTGTCAGGGTTGGGATATGGCTTCAGGGTGAAATCGTTCCATCTCAGAAGATCATCAGGCATTAGATTTTCATAAGGAGTGCACAACCTAGATCCCTAACATGCACAGTTCACAACAGGGTTCATAGACATTGAAGCAACCAAGAACAATGTAATTCGATATTCCTAGGTTGAGGTTTCAAACTTAAAATTTAACATTGACCAACAAATACTGTTTAATCTAAGAATCAGTCCATTGCTATGAAATGTCACCCTTTCTATAGCATTTGTCAATATACTATGTGTGTAAGACACTGAGTGTACTGCAACCAAGAAAAGTATGTAATAAGTCTGAAGAATTTATCAAGCCATGTAAGATATTTCAGCTATGAAAAGAAAGTTACAAGAATTCCATGGAGTCATAAGGTATTATGAAACTTTAATGATAAAGTATACATCTTTTGCTTGAGCCCTTGTCTGACATAAATATCTAAGGAGGTAAGAAACCTCCTAACATAATTTTAGGGTGGAGGGAGAGTGGGGGGAGACGAAAATGGCAGATGGAAATAGTTATTTCCAACATTTGGTATCAGCTGCTGAGACAGCCAAATGTGCACACACACCCACCCCATTTGGCAGGCTTTCTCTTCCAATAATACATAACTGAATAGCCAAACAGCACAGGCAGACATCTGTAAACGAATATGCAGCCCCAACCGGCTAATTGACGACAAGTTTCAAGGCACTGTCATATATCATTTTTAACTGTTCAATGATCATTTTGAGAGTAAATTATAAATGTCTACTATGTGCCAAGAGCTGTGCTAGGCACTGGAAAGATATCCTCCACCAAGAAAGAGACCAGTTGGATCAGTCTGGAAAACAGATAAATATAAAAAAGGAAATAAAAATGATACAGGCTCTAATAGTAAAATGCACAGAGAACACTTAAGAGGGGATGAGTTTCAAGAAGACTTCCCAGGGGAGAAAGTACTTAAGTGGAATGTTAAAGGACAAATACTCATTATTTCAGCAGAAGACAAGAGTTAAAGGAAATTATATATATGGCAAAGATTTTTTAAAAGTTATGTAGCTAGAATGCATGACATTTCCAAGGGCCACATGTGGTTTGGCTGGAGTATCCAATATGTGGACAAGGGTAAGAGAGATGATGAACAAGAAATTGGGGCAGGTCACAAAAGACCTTTGTAAACCATGCTACAGAGTTTGACTTCTCATGTTCATTCAAAAATCACTTCGAGGCACTATTGTAAGTTTTTAAAAATTCAATTTCTTGGGGCATTTCACTTACAAAATACTTCACTTATCCACAGGTCAATTTATTCAGCACCTCAACAATGTGAAATGTGGCTTAAGAATCAGGAAATAAACAAGATTCTTTGGTCAGCCAAATTATAGACCCCACACTCATGCACCATCATCATATGAAAGAGCTGTTAAATCTCCAAAGCCTATCTAATCTTTTTTCTCTAGATTTCTAGCGATCACTTTTCTTTCATTAGAATAATTCACATAAAGATCTTATCTCTCTCTGCTAGGCTCTAAGATTCTTTTGAGTATCTATTCATGTTCATTTTGCATTACTGGCAGCTTCAAGCCAAGCTTGGCATTAGTTGGTGCTCACAAATTTGATGAATGACTAAAACTTAGATATATATATTTTTAAAAGCTTGGCTATTAACTTTTTTATGATTCATAAAAGTTATATCAGCAGCCAGCATAATGAGGGAAGGGAGAAATGCAACCTAATTATGACGTAAAACAAACTGGCTATTTAGCAAGAGCAGTAGCCTAGTTCAGCATTTATTAAGGCCTGCTATTTGCAGTATACTGTGCTAGATACTGTAGAAAATTCAAACATGATTAAGATATGGCTCATATCTTGAGCATTTTATAGTCAAGAACTAACATCATGTATGATAGATAAATGATGTTCCATAATACAATCCGAGTCATAGAGAAGGTATTAAAGTATGCTCAAGATTAAAAAGTCGTTAATCTAAGAGATTAAAAGTATTTTTAGAGTGATTAAATTTTAACACTTCAAAGAGTAAGCTTTACTTAAAGAAAAAGCCAAGTAAGATTAAAGGGAAAAAAAACCTCCATGACTATCTTAAAATATACAGAAAATGTATTTAACAAAATTCAACTTCCATTAAAAAAAAAATCTTTACAAACTAGCAAAAGATGAAATTCTTTAGCCATTAGTAAGGCTAATAATTGAAAGCCAGAAAGCCTCATACTTAATGGTGAAACTTTATACTTACATTATACGCTTTTAGTTCAGAAATATAAGAATGCCCACTATTGTACCTAAAAAGAATTAAAAAAAAAAAAAAGAATGCCCACTAAAATTGACTGTTTCCATTCAACACTGCTCTAGAGATCCAACTACACAAACGATAACAAAAGGTATTAGAAAAAAGAAAACAAAACTGTTATTATTTGTAAATAATCTATGTAGAAAATCTAAGAAAGTCAAATTATTCACACTAGGGGCTAGCAAGATTTCTAAAGATCAATAATAAAAAATCAACTGAGTCAAAAATTCGTACATGAATATTTACAGCATCATTATTTATATACTAGCCCCAAACTAGAAACAACCCAAATATCCATCAACTAAAGAATGAATTGTGGTATATTCATACCATGAAATAGCAATAAAAAGGAACAAAATAACACACACCAGCAGGACTGAATCTCAAAAACATGCTAAATGAAAGAAGTTTAGCACAAAAGATTATTCACTGTATGACATCTATAAAATACATGAGTTTTATTCCATGTAAATTATATTTTGATATGGAGGGTGGGGAAGAAATCAACTGAGTTCCTATCTACCAGGCAATAAAAAAATGTCTGACACAAAGCAACAGAAAAAGTGTGTAACAAAGGGAACTTGGGAACTTCTACTCAATTGACAGAAATTTAGGTACAATAGCTTTGGAGAACAATTTGGCAGTATCTAATCAACATACGTCACGCTTGTGTAACTCATGGCCCACGGGCTGCATGCGGTCCAGGGCAGCTCTGAACGTAGCCCAGGAGAAATTCATAAATTTTCAGCTGGGTATAGTGGCTCACACCTGTAATCCTAGCACTTTGCCAGGTCGAGGCAGGTAGATCATGAGGTCAAGAGATAGAGACCATCCTGGCCAACATGGTGAAACCCTGTCTCTACTAAAAATACAAAAATTAGTTGGGTGTGGTGGCATGTGCCTGTAATCCCAGCTACTTGGGAGGCTGAGGCATGAGAATCGCTTGAACCCAACAGGTGGAGGTTGCAGTGAGCCGAGATTGTGCCACTGTACTCCAGCTTGGTGACAGAGCAAGACTCCGTCTCAAAAACAAAAAAGGAAAAAAATAAATTCATAAACTTTCTTAAATAATTATGACTTTTTTTTGTGATTTTTTTTTCCAGCTCATCAGCTATTGTTAGTGTTAGGGTATTTTATGTGTGGCTCAAGACAATTCTTCCAATGTGGCCCAGGGAAGCCAAAAGATTGGATACCCCTTATATACATGAATCTTATGACTTAGCAATTCCATTCCTAGGTATAAATCCTAGATAAACTTTTGAATATGTAAAGTAATATGTCCAATAATGTATAATGCATTATCAGTAACAAAAAAATTCAAAATAAATTATCATGAATTCATATAATACTGCTAAAAAGATTCAATCAGTGACCAGACCTAGTGGCTCAAACCTATACTCTCAGCACTTTGCGAGGCAGAGGCAGGAGGATTACTTGAGCTCAGGAGTTCGAGATCAGCCTGGGCAACATAGTAATACCCTATCTCTATTAAAAAAATTAAAATTAAAACAACAAAAAAAGAAATGTACTAGCCCTGTTGATTTTAGATAAGCCTAAGAAATATAACTGCTGATCCCCTAGAAAAGGCAGTTTGCACAATATATAATACTACATATTTGTTATATGTGATATTTAAGACTTCAAAAGATAAAATATACTACAGGTTCTCTATATTTTATGTGCTTGAAATATTTCATAATTAAAAGAAAAACCACTAATAAGAGCTTCCTCACTGGGGTATATAACTTTACCTGGCCTAATTTAAAACAAGTCACTAAGATATTTCCTCCCTTCTACTGCAATAAAACTGGTGCACCTTGCATAGTGCTTAAAAGGTAAGAGAACTCCCACAGCTGCTGTACAATTATCATCTAATTAATCTTCCTAAACCTCAACTTTTTAGCCCAGTTTATAATGAAGACACTGCAGCACATGATAGCCTATAACCATCTTGCAACAGTAGATACAGAAAGACCTGGCTTTCAGAAGCACTCTCACTCTGGCACAGTACTAATTTCTGGTTCAAATAAATCTCAGCATTAGATGATAAAATTACTTAAGAAGTTATATCTTGTTGGGTGCGGTGGCTCACGCCTGTAATCCCAGCACTTTGGGAGGCCAAGGCGGGTGGATCATGAGGTCAAGAGATCGAGACCATCTTGGTCAACATGGGGAAACCCTGTCTCTACTAAAAATACAAAAAATTAGCTGGGCGTGGTGGCACGTGCCTGTAATCCCAGCCAACTCAGGAGGCTGAGGCAGGAGAATTGCCTGAACCCAGGAGGCGGAGGTTGCAGTGAGCCGAGATCGCACCACTGCACTCCAGCCTGGGTAACAACAGCGAAACTCCGTCTCAAAAAAAAGAAAAAAAAAAGTTATATCTTAAACAAAATGAAGGACAAATTCTTTTCTAGCACTTCAATTAGTTAAGAATTAGGTCACCTCAATCAGTTCTCTAAGAGGCTTTGGTAAATGTGCTTCAATTATAAACTTAAATAAAATGTATATTTTTTCATATAATTGTAATTCTGTTCTCAAACTAACAAATCACTTCACATTCTTAGGCATTTTTCTATTTGGACCTTTTTTACAGGATGACTAAAGCTTTTAAGATATATTTTTCAAAGTGCTCAGATATACTATTTTACATCTCTATATCAAATGCAACAACAATGCTTTAGGAACCAGGATACTAAAGAGGAAAACATGTCTTAGGGTTAAAAATTATGTTATCAAAAAACATATATGTAGAAACAATTTATTCAACTCAAAATATACTGAACCTTCAGAAACAGATTTAGTTACTTAGAAACATGCTGGGTAACATAGGTAAATATGGAGGTGCATAGGCCAGCTGCCCAGAGATGTGTTGTTTGGCTGGTATAATACTTTCCAAAACAGAAACAGCTGGGACATTAAAAGAATTCAGTGATTCGCACTTTTAAAAGCTAGATTTCCCATCAATATTCTAGTATTTTCAACTCCTCTCTCACCTTTTTTTTCCTCCCTACTTAGAGACCAAATATACCTAGTTCTTTCCTATCATGTTTCTAGGTTTTGAACCCTGATCTTCATTTCCAGTTATGACTGGGTATACTTCCTTCTGAAATCCTATTTACATTAAATAAGCAATCTAAACTACTTCCCCACATAAAGGGTTTCAAGTTCTGGGTTTTGTAGACTGGTACATATTCACTTGGTTTCCACATTAGGTTTCTTTCCTCAGTATGGAAGCATCAAAAGGACATGCTCTGGTGATCTGCTAATTATTAATTGCATTGATTACCAAATATATCTGCTATACGTAAAACACAAAATCTCTGGCTGATAAGTTAACAATCCATGAGGACATGAAGCATTTCTTTGCCTTTTTTCTTATTCACTTAAATCAGTATCTGAATTCGACTTTATAATTTGCCTTTTGAAATGAGATTGCTACTGTCTCAACCATAGTGAAGAAGTCTATATAATAAATGTTATGTTTGAAACATAAAAAGGAAGCAGTTTTCCAAATAGCTGGCATTACACAGAAAGCTGCTCTTTATAGTTGTAGGTACTATGATATGTATCACAAAGGCCTCTGACCTTTTGTCAACATTAGATTTCATTAAGTTAAATTAGTGTTTAGAGTCAAAACTGGGACTTATACCGACATGTTATGATTAATAAAGTTATGGCACTATTCTGTACTGGAATTAGAACAAGAGAAAGCTTTAAAAAGGAGAACTTAATCTCAAACTAAAAGGTCTACAAAACAAATTTCTCACTAATTTTTTGTTAACAAAACCTGCAATATAAGAGAAGCAATACAGAATAAAAAAACAAATTTAAAATGTAAAGCCATTGCATAATAATGTAACTATTGTGAGAAATCTACGAAAGTTGAACCAAATTATTAGCATCACATAAAATTAGCACAGTCCTAGGTTAAATAAAAATAGGTTGGAACTGAAAAAAAAAAAAAAAACCAGGCAGACTGTCAATGCAATGCATTTGGAGCTGGATCATAATTTAATCACTTCTGTAGCAGAGACAAGCAGAGTATCTAGTGCAAAGTAGAATATTAAAATATATTTATAAGTTTAAAATCCCCTATTCTTTTTTCTATATAGTTTAAAAGATGACCATCATTTCTATACAGTGTTTATTCAGTCTACGCTCAACAGAACTGTAACCCTTTTTTTAAGTGAAATTTTAGCAGAATTTCCAATTCATATTGGTGAGTGAAAGGCACTGGGATAGTAAAAAGCCTAGACTAGCACAACCAGGCAAATGTTTGTAAACAATAGCATTATATACAAATGTTATTATTAGTAATATCCTTTACCAGGGATGGATAAATTGGTAAAGACAGATTTTTCTCTACCATTGGCTGAATAAAACTCAAGTCCACATTGTTACCAATATCAACTGTTTCCCTAAAAATTTTAAGCACAATACAAATGCTCTAATTTTATATAATTCATTACAAAATTTAGTGTCAAGGTTATAGAAAAAAAAAGAACAAATCTTATCTAGACTCACTTTTACACAAATGCTGGCTTTTAATGTCTTTCAACAAGATAATTACTACACATTCATATTCAAATATGGGTAATTTCATTTAAAATGCAGAACTTCCAGTAAGAAAATTCCAACTATATTTGTCTGAAAGTACAATATAGTTTAAATGTGGACAGTTAAGAGAAAATTTCTGTCCAAGTTTGGAATTTTAAATGTTAAGATGACTACTAGAAAAAATAATTCTAGTTCTTGAGATCAGGAATATTTGTCTCTACATACAAGAAGTGCTTTGACCCTATGAGCTCTACTGCCTAGCACTGAATGCATGTGTAGTTAAAACTCAGTGGTAATATTTAATGTTGCTCCCTTATTCCACCATTCTCCTGGCTCTTGGATCCAGGGGTGTGATTTCCTTGAAAGATAAAATACAGGCATTTAAATAGGTTTTGACTAATCTGTTTTTCGTAGCTGATTGTTGGTCTTTCCTAGCTACACAATGTTTCTTGAAAGTTGAGGTGCTTAGCAATTTTTAAATTCCAGGTATGGTACCTGGCTATGCAGTAGGTGCTTCTGAATATATGATCAATACAGTTCTCAGAAACAGATCCCCTATGGAAGTATCATGAATGTAGTTTAATCCAATACATCATTTACAGATAAATATGAGGCCCAGAGAAGTAGAAGTATTTGCCTAATATTACAGAGCTAATAAGGCCTGAATATTATCTTGACCCCAAGTGCTTCTTAAGGAAATGGACTAAACAGCTTAGACAAATTAACTCTGGTAATAAATGAAGTGACAGATACCATGTCACATTTGGATAACACTCTTTTCTAACCAGAAACCACATAGGCCAAATTTGTTATTATTTTTATTTTATTAAATATATATTTTAATTAATTTTTTTTTTGAAACAGGATATTGCTCTGTCACCAGTTAAACCAGCTAGAGTATAATAGTGCAATCATGGCTCACTGCAGCCTCAACCTTCTGGGCTCAAGTGATCCTCCCGTCTCAGCTTCCAGAGTAGCTGGAACTACAGATGTACACTACCACACCTGGCTAATTTTTTAATTTTTTTGTGGAGGTGGGGGTCTTACCATGTTGCCCAGGCTGGTCTCAAGCAATTCTCCTGTCTCAGCTTCCCAAAGTGCTGGAATTATGAGCCACCATGCCTGGCCCACAGCGTGAATTTCTGCTGTTGTAAAAGGTTTACTTAAATTGACCCACACTAATAAGCCCTACATATGTTAACTATTATAAAGGAAATAATATTACTTTTGATACACTGGGAAATTAATAGGGCTTTTTTCTATTGTTCATCAAATTACAAAGGATGGTAGCAAAAGTATTAAAATCATATACATGTGAACCTAAAACAATAAAGGGAAATAACTAAGGCACACGGGCATGTAAGCATTTCAACATAAATGTAAAAGGCAAAATATTAATTACAAAAATGAAACTTTTATAAAGTTAGTTGGAGTAATAATGCCACAAAGCAAAACTACAAAGTTGGTAATGAGTTGCCTCTTATATTCCTCATGAAGGAGACAATCTTGAAACTTTGAAGAGGAAGATTAGAGGATGTGCCTCATCAATCTTTCTAGACTACCCTGTCTGATCTTAAATTAGTGCTAATAGTAATTCAGACGATTTCCATTATTATCCATTTTTAATTATCAGTAAGTCCATTTTTAATGTAAAAGGAAATATTCTAACAATTCTTTAAAAAGCTATCAGGATAGCTGAGTTGAAGTTCTAATATTGATTTCCAGTTAAATGTTTGTTTACTTCCTCCTGAAAGTTCAATAAAGTGAAAGTAAAAGGATAAAACAAATAAACCTTAAGCCACAGAGAATTAAAATGAATGACAGCAGGCAAGTCATGTCAATAAAAATTCTGAAAGCTGAAAACATAAAAGAAAAAAAAATCAAGGTATAAGGAGAAAATCTCCAACGTGTAGACAACTAAAGAGGGGAAAAACCGTCATGCACAAATGCAGAATCAGAATGGTATCACATTAGAAGATAATGGAGCACTGCCATCAAAGTGCTGAATGCTAACCTAGAATTTTACACCCAGATAAATTATCAATATGAAGATGAAATAATAATTCTCAGACACATATGATTTTTTAAAAATTTAACAAACTTTTTCTTCAGATTTATAAAACTGCAGATCTAGCAAGTGATGAAGACAAAAGCAATTCTTCCAAGATGATTATGACTCTCATGACATTTGTATGGCAACACACCTAGGGTGCAACCAGTCTGGACTAGAAAACTAAAGAATGATGGGCAAAAAATCATCAAAAAAAGAAGAAAGAAAAACTTGGTAAGTTACCTGGTGAGTCTGAAGATACAGAAAGACAATTACACTGCTGTCAGAGTCTGAATTAGCAATAAATATACAGAAAATTAAGGAACCCTCTCCCCTGCCCCAAGAAGCATGATGAAATCCAGGGAAAATAAGTTGTTTTACAAGAAAGGAAGTAAAAGTACACTACAATACTCAAATGTAAATAATGTATATGTTAATTATAACAAAAAAACACAAAATATCAATTTAACCAGAAACCACTAAAACAGAAGATGTGTACAGTATGTAAATAGACAGAAAAAACTAAATATTCACCTTCCATGTAGATATTACCAATAGGTATTATCTAAAACTGCAAAAAATAAACAAATGAAAACGAACCATGAAACAGAAGTATAAGCAAGTATTAAGAGTAGAGGTTCTCCAAATGTGGTCCAGGAACACACCCTTTCGGGGAGTCCATAAGATCAAACTTTTTTCATAAGAAAACTAAGCCTGTGTTAGTTTAATAAACTACATAATAAAATTGCCTTTTTCACTTTCATTCTCTTGCAATGTTCATATACAATAAAAATTGTACAGTGCAATTTTCCAGAAGCTAAGCACCATGTCACAACAGACTGAATGCAGAAGCTGACAGGAAAATCCAGTTGTCTTGTTGAGGTCAGGAGTTCGAGACCAGTCTGGTCAACATGGTGAATCCCTGTCTCTACTAAAAATACAAAAATTAGCCAGGAGTGGTGGCGGGCACCTGTAATCCCAGCGACCTGAGAGTCTGAGGCAGGAGAATCATTTGAACTTAGGAGGCAGAGGTTGCAGTGAGCCAAGATTACACCATTACACTCAAATGAGCCAGACTCTGGTTCTCCCCTGAACCACCCCCAACCCCCACCAAAAAAAGAGAAACATGGAGTTAAGATCATCACCACCTATGGTTGGGCTGGTTGTTTACAGTACAAGGACACCAGAACAATGGGATCAGTAGGGCTAGAATCTAGCTCATGCTCTATCCTCCAAAACACCAGAGAGGGCAATTTTTTCTAAATTGCATAAAGACAGAAGAGGGTCTAGTGGTCACCATGGTAATAAAAGACCAGAAGAAGCTAATGAGTGAATGTGATTGCTTTGAATTAATCTATGGGGAGAGAAATTAGAATTGTGGTTACCTCTAAAGAGAACAAATTGTAAAAGGACATGAGATAACTTTCTGAGTGGATGACAATGTTCGAGCTTGATTGGGAGTTAGAGCTTAGATATATACACTTAAAATTATCTAACTATACACTCAAGATCTATGCATTTTACTGTATACAATGATGCTACAATTTTTAAAAAGTGTGTTCTTCTGACATAGGGCAGGACTATGTATTTGCATATTAAAATTCAGCATTACTTTGATAAAACTCAAATTCTATTAACACCTATTATGTAATGAATAAATAACACTTTTAAATGAAAATGAGTATAGCTACTGAATTCTAAGAGTTTTTATATTGCAGGAATGAATCTTTACCAGAATACTTTGCTGGGAAAAAAAGTACCAACAATATTGTTATTGACATGTGAGGTAGGGATAAGCAGCAACAGCAATATAAGAAGCAATATTACAAAACAAGAATGACGAGGAGAAAACTCTGACTTTAATAATAGTACCTGAAATCTACTGATTTTTAACTCTGTTCCAGGTATTGTGCTATTGCTGTTACAGATTATTTGCCCCATTTTGCTGATGAAGAAGCTGAGACACAGAGAACTAAAGTAATTTACCCAAAGTATCACAGTAAGTGGTAGAGACAAAATTTAAACCTTAAAGAATGACTGTGTAGCCTGAATTCTCAATCACTACACAATACTGCTTCCTGTACAGTAGCAGCCCCTCCCCACCAATTCAGTGAGGATACTGGGCAAAAAGGACAAATATTCCATTGATATTTTTCTCAAAAATATTAAATCATTCTTACCCCATGGGCTAGAGAAAAACAGGAGGCAGGTACTATTTGAAGACATAGGCTATAATTTGCCATTTCTGCTTTCCACTTTAAAGAAGATTACAAAACAGTGGCCGATGCCTTAAGTGTTCTGGACTAAAATTCTTTTATGAATTAAAATAGAAGTACTTCCCTTTGAAAACTAGAGGATCAAGCAACACTGGACTCATGATTAAAACTGAAAACCAAAAATATGTTTGTTTGTTTTTTTTTGAAACAGAGTCTTGCTCTATCACCCAGGCTGGAGTGCTGTGGCGTGATCTCAGCTCACTGCAACTTCCACCTCCTGGGTTCAAGCAATTCTCCTGCCAACCTCCCGAGAAACTGGGATTACAGGCACACGCCACTACGCCCAGCTAAACTTTTTTGTATTTTTAGTAGAGATGGGGTTTTGCCATGTGGGCCAGGTATATCTCAAACTCCTGACCTCAGATTATCCACTGGCCTCCGCCTCCCAAAGTACTAGGATTACAGGTGTGAACACTGAGCCCAGCAGGAAAACCAAGAATATTTTTACTTGTTTCATAGGCAAAAAGCCCAGCTTCATCAATTCATCTGCTTCAGCCCAGGAGGCACTGAATTTGCCTTCTCTGCTTAACATGCCTAGCACTGCCCTAGGTAAAACTAAAAGATGGGAAATTTTATGTCCCAGCATTAAATAAAATCAAGGAAAAAATGAATTAGAGAAAGTTGCATAAAATGGAAAACTGAAAACTGATAATGCAAAGCTAATAGACTGACTTCCAAAAATCATTTTTCCCAGCATAAAAAATGAGTCTGCTTTTGGATGCTGCAGAGATTTAAGTGATTGAATTGACAATACATTTTTTAAAATTTTTATATGAAATGATTTAAAACATAATCATATATAAGCAGAGAAAATAGTTAAGATTTAAGCTTTATCCTTAACTCATTCTGAAAACAAACAATTTTTAAAAATAATTTGAGCCTTGGCTGCTCTGCCTATGGAGTAGCCATTCTTTTCTTCCTTTACTTTCTTAATAAACTTGCTTTCACTAAAAATAATAACAATAATTTGAGCCTTAAAGTTAAACATTAAAAGAAATACAAACATCCACCAAACCTGTTTTTTAAAGTATGAAATTCAACTATGCCAAAAAATGCTTTATGCAAATATTTCAAAATTTCAAAGTATAAAATATCCAATACCATACTTAGTAACACTTTCCCAAATAAATGTCCGGGTTATTTAACTTCGAAGTGATATTATATATGTGCATAATTTATTTCTCTTTTTTCATATTTCTATTAGTGCTACATCATAAAATTATTGCTGGTAACTTACTAGCAGTAATGAACGATAAAACATTAAGTGAAAAATTAGAATATCCCTCTACCATAAAAAACAAGGGTGACTTTCTCATCTCTCTACAACTCAAGATTCAAACTTTTCTGTTTAAGAATAAAAAGTCAGGAGGGATAACATGGGAAGAAATGCCAGATATAGGTGATGGGGATGGAGGCAGCAAACCACATTGCCATGTATGTACCTATGCAACAATCCTGCATGTTCTTCACATGTACCCCAAAACCTAAAATGCAATAAAAAAATATATATATAAAGAATAAAAAGCCTATGTTCATTCTTATCTGATTTTTCCCCCAAACAGTACAATTATAGAAATACTGCAAAAAGTTATTTTTTCTCTAATAAAACAGCTTAAAAAATGAGCAATAATTTCAAATAATCTTGTTCATTCAGTTGTTGGTAACACTTATAAAATGAGGTTGTATTGTAGATTTCCTTAAAGCTATTAAAAATATGTATTGTAAGTATTAATTAAAAGGGATAATCACAATTTAAGCAGAGATTTTTCAAAAATTATGTCCTTGGGTTATAATTCCCAATTTTCAACTTTCATCTGTCTACTTTGTAAAAGACTTTCATTGTGAAACACAGCTCCAGTGTTAATATTTTCTATATCATTTAAGCAAAAATAACCTCATTCAGAAATTCAGAATTGTCAAATCCTGCAACACTTATGGTCTAAAGTCCTTAATTTATTTTCCTTTAGTCTTTAAGCTCTAATAAAATCCCACATTTGCCAAAAAATTTAAGGGGATGATTTCACAGATAACCCAAAAAGATATAATTTTTTTTTTCTGGATCTTCCCTTTACTGCTACTGTGATACACAAAGCAGTTTGAGACGCTTTAGTTAAAATGGTAATTCAGAAAGTTATGTTTCCTTTTGGAAAAAGAATGTGGCTTTTGAATAGACACTCCAGGCATTTAAGTTATGATATGATAAAACTAAGAGAAATAAAATCTCCCTCAATGACTACTTAGTACATTTTTCTATGTACATTTACACGCAAGTCAAGCTTTGGTAATGCATAGTAAAAATCTTGTAAGTCAAATTCTAAATTAATTTAAATAGGCCTGTACCATAAATATATTTGAGATATTTCTGCTTAAAAAATACTTCCATTCACAAACCTTTTACGTGTCAGAGTTGAATTAAATGAGGTCTTACAGGCTTATTATGCCAAGTATATTATACTCGTTTCTGTCTAGTTGGGAAGACTACAATCCCGGCAGGTAAACTGTCCTTCAACTGTACAATATGTAACCTTGCACACCCAATATGCAACAGCAGTCTCCTGTCAGGGATGTACGTGTACACAGGAGGTCCTGCCATGGCATTGGGATGCACAGAGGCAATTCATTTATTTCCCAGCACTAAACTCTCACTTGAGATATTAATGACCTTATAGAGAACCAAAATGTAATGACTGTGAAAGTCTCACTGGCCAATATTTGCAAAAACGAAATTATGTAACTATGTAATAAGATGCACTTTGGTTAAAGAGAACCAAGCTCTCAATCCCGAGAGCATTCTATTGTTACAGTAAAAATGGCCAGCCTTGAATTTTATGTCCCTTCTCACTCCCCAAAAAACACGAAAACAAAAACCATGACCGCAAATGAAAAGCTTAATTATCAAACCTTTCATTCCTGATTGTGCAAATAGGGAAAACAAGAAAGTGTAAGAACCAGGGTCTAAACAGCCATTTGCCATGGGTAACGCAGAACTTACTGGGTTAGTCGGCCTTCACTTTCTCTCATGCTCTCATCCTGCAACCATTTTCTCTCCTATATCAGCACTTTACTCCCTCCTTTTAAAGAACATCTACAAAGTGGGGTGGAGAGAAAGCAACACTATTTGTCAGCAAAACAACATACATACGAGGCAAGCTTAAGCTATTCTGAGGCCTGATACTGGGAAAGGGGTTTCATAAGCAGGCATTGCAACTAAGAGGTGCTGACAACTTCACTGTTCTACAGTGAGGTAAACAGAAGTGACAATGTGCTTTATTACATAATACCTCTACCCATCTCCTTTCACTTTGAACCACTGCTACTTAATATGACAGAAGAATGTAACATGTTAAACATGGAAAGGAAGAAAGGAAATACTCTGGTTAGAGTGAGGAAGTAGTTGTTATTTTTCACAATTAAAACAATTTAATTTCTGCCAAATAGACTTATGTAATCCTAGCATCTTCATAAAATTTTGAAACTGGAAGAATCCTTAGAGGCCATCTGGTCCTACCCTCTCATCTTACAGACCGAAAAACTAAAAATTCAAGCCCAAGATCAAGCAGTTATATAAGGAAAAAACTAAAACTTCTGATACAGTGAAGTATTCTGATATTTGCAAATATACAACAAACACTTTCCTAAGGTTCAAAGTATCAACACAAAAATAAATGAAAGAATTGTTGCCTACAGCATAAAACATGTATATAAATTCAAATTCACTTTTGCTACCAAAAATACATCCCACTCTTTGTTGTCTCTATAGCTCTAACAGCTATATGCCCACTAGGACAGGAGGGAGGTGAAAACAATTAAGGGGAAAATGCAGGAAAAGAATAAACAGCAAGCTAGTTAAGATAAAACAATCAATAGAAATGGCTGTTAGGATTAATAGCTACTGAAAAATGGGGTTATGGAACTGTTTCTGGAGAGTTCTCACTCTGCAGAGGAAAAAAATAGCAAGATAGGAGCAACTTAAAAGTACTGGAATGCATGTTATATAAGTCAGCTGATTAGAGTGATCAGAATTCTTGTGGCATAAGGTAGTAGAATCTGCATTTTAAAACCAGAATTCCAGACGATACCAGAGCAGCTGGTCCCTAAAGAGTACATTTTGGAAAACACAGGTCTCTGGGATATTGGGGTTTAGGAGGGTCAAAGATAAGATAAATTCTTGTTCAGGAGTTCTGGGCCATTAACTAGCTTGGTTTGATCCTTTCAACCACCCAGGCAAAGGAAATGCCCTCGGCAAAACACATTAAGGCTGATTCTGTTCCCAGCCCAAGCAGTAAGACAAGGTGGCTGCCACACAGTCACCCCAAGGAGCCAGACAACATTATGTAATCACTGCCCAAGCTCTGAAATGAAGAGATCAGAACTTCTTTCACTAAAGTGTGTCATTAAGGTTTTCCTTTACCCGTTGAGCAACTGACTGGATTATAAGGATTCTACTTTAAAGGTACAGAAATATTTTGTCTTCCACTAAAGAAGTCTTTCAGCTTATAGCTGGAAAAAAATTAGTCATCTTGTATCTACCAACTCATCCGTGACTGCTGGGTGGTTTACAAAGAAGACTCTGGCCCTGTGTAGTCCCAGTAGTGTTTTCCTTTGGATATGGAGGATGTGAGAAAATAAAAAATGGAAAACAAAGCACGGAGCTACCAATGATTCACAGAGCTACCAATGATTATTTACAGCTGCAATGACCACAAAATTTAAATATGGCGAATTTGTGAGAAATTTTGAGAATCTGAAATCAGTCACTATTTCAGAAATGACAAAAATTGTCAGAAGTCAGATTTAAATGCTCAGCAAATTTAATTTTGATGTTTGTCCAGAGTTTCAAACCTCCACTACAGAAGAGAAAAGCTGTCTGAAGTGACATCATCAAATGCTTGCTCTCTCTCTCTTTCTCTTTCTAAAAGGGAGCAGTTATATTTGTTAATAGGATTAAAAAAAAAAAAAAAATATATATATATATATATATATGATAGCATTAGGCCTACATATATTTGAGATTGTTTTGACTGGGTCCTTGACTCTCAATCTTTTAGGTACAATAAATGTTAGATAAACAAAGAGCTAAGATAATAATTTGCTACTGGAATTTTCGTCTGTGCATTCCAAACATTTTATTTAAAGACCAAGACTGCAATGGCTTCAGGAAAACAATACCAATACGAAAACCAAAACCTTTAATCCTTTTAGGGAATCAGTTCACTGTTCCTATTTCAAGGCAAGGCAAGTCATTTAGAAATCAACCCCTGACGTTGTGGGTTTTTACCAAAACATTTCCAGAAAGTAAGATTACCATTATATTCTGAAGGTAGATTATATTCAGAATATAACAATATAATATAATGATGTCTAGATTACATCTATATTCTGAATTTTTTACAGTATATTAGTGGCCTGTTTTTTAGTAATAATTTTCATTCGCTCATTTAAAAACTCCTATTACTCATACTTGGCACACCAATTTTTTTGAGTTAAAACTAAATTTAACCGACTGATAACAGGTCTTTAAAAATGCTAACAACAAAAAAAATAAGCTAAGCAACATAACTTTACAGTTAATTTCTAATTTTTGCAGCCGAAAGAGGATCTGGGTAAGAGGCTGTGGGCTTTCTTTTTTAAATTACGAGACAGTTACACTCATATTTAAGTAAATATGATCATAACCTACTAAAAGTCAACACAATAACAGTCCCACTTCATGAATTTTTCCTAGGATTAGAAGGAGATTTTGTAAAATGAAGGAGAATTTTATTAGGAACCTGGGGGCAAATTTCTTATGTTTAGTATCACTCGGCAGGAGTCCTCACAAAGACGCTGATATAATTTAAATGCCATCTACTGGTTTTTCACTAACATCCACATAGTCATTACTGGCCTTTACCAGGGATATGTGTTTTAATTATAAGAGACAGCCCAAACCTACTTAAAGCGGACTGTCACTTTGTCCAGGTGAAGTTCACCTGTCACTACCGAAGGGCGGTGAAAAAAGAAGGTAAAGAAAGAAACGCTTTTAAAATTAAGACGCTTACAGTTGCTGGAGTTAGTCCAAGTGCTGTTCAGCTTAGAAACGAAAGTAGGAAACAACAGAGGTTTAGGCTTGTAATGTCAGCCATTTTAGGTACATTATTTATACTGGGAAGGAAGTGCCAAACTCGGCTGTTGTTGTTGTTGTTGAGCCTGTCGCTGCCGGTCGAACGAATCAAGTCCTGGCCGCACACACACTCTCCGGACTGCAAAAACGACCGGGACCTCGGCACAATTCGTCAATCGTCCCCTCTCTTGGCCTCCCAAGCCCCTGACTCCGCGTCAGACACCGCTTCCAGCACACGCACTTCCTTACAAAGAAGGAGCTGCAGCCCCACAGGAAAGAAAGGGGAGCGCCGGGCTCTCGGTGACCTGTCCCCGCTGCGCCCGGCCCACTGCCCGCCACCTCGGGGCGCACCGCTCCCGCCCGCGCAGCCCTCCCCGGCCGGGCCGAGCAACCCTCTTCCCCGACCTCCCTGGGTTCGGACCTTGCAGTCCACGGCGACCGCGTCGGGGGGAATGATGAGCGCCTCCTCGCCGCTCTTGGGATCGTCCTTCTTGGCCTCCTTCTGGGCCAGAGCGGAGTTGAACGTCACCTTCACCATGGCGCGGCCTGGGGCGCCCTCGGAGGACGGAGGCGGGCTCGGGGCGCGGACTGCGGGCTCCCGGCTGCGACTGCAGCCTCTACGGCCGGGTTCCTGGCGGCTGAGGATCGAGCGGCTCCGAGGCGACAGAGAAAGCTACTGCGGCAGGGCTCTCGCAGCCTCCCAGCTCCCGCGCGAGGGCGGAGACGGCTCGCGCACCCCCCTGGGGGTGGGGCAGGGGGCGGGGCCAGCGGACGAGGGCGGGGCGCTGCGCAAGACCCTGCCCTCGCCCCCGGGCTGATCGCGGGATCGGGCCGCGCGGATAGGGTTGGTCGTTTCTCTGGGCCGCCTGGAATTTCCAGTTCTGAATTCGACCCCAACCAGTTTACCTCCAACCCCAGTGTTGCAGGTTTGTAGCAAAAGTCGAGTGAACTTTACTGAGTTCGCCGGGTACAAGGAACTACCCTTTGGCAGCAGACCGCCTCTTCTCTGCCCCCTACCCCCACCGTGAGCTTAAAGGCCGTGGAATTTTTGTACATCCACGTCTTCATTTTCTCACTTGTTAGGGAAACGACTCAGAGCCCAGAAATGTTTAAAGCTCTCTGTCCTTGAGATCTGACTTTATCTTTTACGGACCTCACCCAAGGGTTTTTACCTGGCTCAGACCTGCCTGGTCTTCCGTCCCTCCCTCGGGAGGTCAGCGCCTGTTCTGCCTAGTCCCAGACCAATGTGGAGGAAGCCTTTTGGCAGATTTGTATTTATTTCAAACATCTCACACTCGTAAAACAAAATGTTCCACTCTTGTGCAGACTTGGAAAAAAACCACATGCACACTTGGCTGATTTGTGACTCAAGGTAAAGTACTCGATGACAAGTCCCTTTATTTTTCTGCAAAATGAAGAAGATAATTAAGGATAAAGCAAAATTCTTATGCTTTGAAGACGTTTCATTACAACTAATGCGAGGGGGGATACTGGCTCCCGCCGTTACTGCGTTTATAATGTGTCAACAGACGGCCCCCTTGGAAAAATGGGTGATCTTGTATCCTTCTTCCACCCCATTCTGTCCTGGTTCATCCAGAGTTGTGGGTGTGCTCTAGAATGTTACAGCTGTGTCAGCTCTGCCCTGGGCCAACCCTGAAAATAGTGGGTTGAGTCTGAGATCCTTGGGGATTTGGCTCTGATCAAGGAGAGAGTTGGGTATCTCCATAGAATGTCAGATCATAAATCCCTGGGAAACAGCACAAGGTCTCCGAATCCTTCTGTTCATGTATTTCAGAAACATCCTGGGCTGAGATAGGAGACTTTGAGTCTGCTTTGGGTATTCAGAAATTCCTGTCAAAATGAAATGTGTTCAACTGAGAGGAGAGTGAGTTGGGTTCCAGTTCTGGTGAGTTTTAATAGTAGCTAATCATACTTGCAGCAACTTGTTTAAACTCCCTGGGTCTCCCTTGTCCAGGCATCAGCTCTGTGAGGTTGACTCTATGGACTCACATTTCATGGTAAAAATGTTACTTAATTCCTCAAAGTTAACGACTGCCCCCAGCTCCCTACTTCAATAGGTTTCCTGAGACATTACAATTGAAGACTAAGTATTTCTGGAAGCAAGATCTGGTGGATGATAAATGATTATACGTATATCCTTCCTACTTCTTTCTATGTTAAGATAAGATGGTAGAAAAATACTCAAGGCATTTTGCAGTAGATGTTAGAGAAGAATCTGGCTGTCATTATACTCTGAGGATAAAAGGAATTACAGAAGAAAAGAAAACAAAATTCTTCTTCAACAACACTACGGAACAGACTAGGAAGATGAGGCAAAGGATGAACAAATGAGGTTGACAGAACTAGAAATCCTCCCCTGCCCCAGGATTTCTGTTTTAAAAGACTCATGAATAAAAGACCATTCATTATGTTGTGTACTTACAGTGAGCAACAGTTTCAAATCGGTTGGCAACAGGTCTGGGACTAATCTCCCGGTTTTGTTTCTCCATTTTATCTCATGTGTCTACAGAACTATGTAGTGCACAACAGCAGGGATAATAAAGACGCTGGAGCAAGACCAAGCATAGCAAATCCAGTCTTGTGATTTAGAAAAGGTTGCCCGTTGACCCTGAAAACTTAGGAGTGGGGGAGGAGGAGAGTCCATGACTCAACAAAAGAAATTTAAAAACAGTCATAAGTTACCATTAACTACCAAATGTAAAGGGAGTCTTAGAAGACCTTTATTTTCTTTATTCATGTTCATTTTGAAAGAGCAAGATAAATCTGACCCAGCTCTGCATATCACCAGGAACCAAGGAGGCAGAAAAAAATGGAAGTCGGGAACTGAATTCTAAAATCTTTTATTAATAGATTTGTGTGATGTGCTTCGACATGGATTTTTTTTTTCTTTTTGAGTTATTTACATCCCTATTCTGTCTGTTCTTTCTTAAGGAAATAATTCCTTCTTCAGAGAAATTTCTTGTGGTTTTACAGAATGATTCGAAAACACTTTTTTTTTAAATTTACAAATATAGGGTCCTTGGTGAAACAACATCACTGAATATGCCCTTTGAAATGTGCTCTTCTTTGCCTTTTCTCTTAACCCAACGTGTTAGTTTAGCTGAACATCTTGCGGCTCTGTCTGAACTTTCACTAAAGAAGTGTTTCTTCTAGGCCAGAGGTGAAGGCTTCGACTTGCCTCTTCAGAGACGTAAGCACTATTTATATTTCTTACCAACTTCCTACCTCAATATTATATATGCTCTTCAATTATTTTCATTTATTTAATATAAATTATTTTAATATAATTTAAAAATAATTTATCATTATTTTTCTTGAACTGGCAGATGCATTTTTTTTTCTTTCTCAAATCTCAGGCTTTATAATATCCCAAGACCCTTTGGAAATTATCCTGATAACAAATGCAGCTCTCTTTTGATTTGTCTGACTGTGGCACTTGGGACTGGATATGTTCTATACTGATGAAAGAGAGGGAGAAGCCAGGCACAGTGGCTCACACCTGTAATCCCAGCTCTTTGGGAGACCAAGGTGGGTGAATCACCTCAGGTCAGGAGTTTGAGAACAGCCTGACCAACATAGAGAAACCCTGTCTCTACTAAAAATACAAAAAATTAGCCAGGCGTGGTAGCACATACTTGTAATCCCAGCTACTCGGGAAGCTGAGGTAGGAGAATGGCTTGAATCTGGGAGGCGGAGGTTGCAGTGAGCCAAGATCTCGCTATTGTACTCCAGCTGGGGAAACAAAATCGACACTCCATCTCAAAAAAGAAAGGGAGAACAAAGAAGGAAAAGTTGAGAAACACATACCAAAAAAAAAAAAAAAAAAATAGTGAAATCAAAAGAATGGGAAGACAAGCCACAGACTGGCAGAAAATATTTGCAAAAGCCATATCTGATGGAAGACTTGAATCCAAAGAATGCTTTAAACTTAACAATAAGTAAACAAACCACCTCATTAAAAAAATAGGCCACAAGCCAAGTGCAGTGGCATGAGCCTATAGTCCCAGCTACTCAGGAGGATTGCTTGAGTCCAGGAGTTCAAGATTGCAATGCATTATGATACTACCTATGAGTAGCCACTGCACTCCAGCCTGGGCAACATAGCAAGACCCCGTCTTTATTTTAAAAAATTATTTTTCTTATCAGGGAATTGTGGTGCATGCTATGGTCCCAGCTACTTGGGAGACTGAAGCAGGAAGATCACTTTGAACACAGGAGTCCCTAAAAATAAACAAACAAATAAATAAATACAAATCAAAAACGAAACAAACGATACAGTTCCTTAGTTGCAATAACCACATTTTTTAAAAAATGAGCAAACAAGGCTGGTCACGGTCGCTCATGCCTGGAATCCTAGCATTTTGGGAGGCCAAGGTGGGTGGATCACCTGAGGTCAGGAGTTTGAGACCAGCCTGGCCAACATGGTGAAACCCTGTCTCTACTAAAAATACAAAAATTAGCCAGGTGTGGTGATGGGAGTCTATAATCCCAGCTATTCGGGAGAATGAGGCACAAGAATGGCTTGAACCCGGGAGGTGGAGGTTGTGGTGAGCCAAGACGGTGCCACCGCACTCCAGCCTGGGCAAGAAGAGGGAGACTTCATCTCAAAAAGAAAAAAGGAGCAAACAATCTGAAGAGACACCTAACCAAAGAACATACACAGATGGTAATTAAAGCATATGAAAAGATACTCCACATCTATATTTACATGTATTATTAGGGAATTGCAAATTAAAACTACAATGAAATACCCCTGAACACCTATTAAAATGGCCAAAATCTGGAACAGGGACTACACCAATTACTGATGAGGATGCTGAGCAACAGGAACTCTCATTCATCGCTGATGGAAATGGAAAATGGTACAGCCGCAGTTTCTTACAAAACTAAACACACTCTTAACCATACAATCCAACAATCATGCTCCTTGGTATTTACCCCAAGGAGTTGAAAACTTATGTCCACCAAAATACCCTGAGTATGTATGTTTACAGCTGCTTTACTCATAATTACCAAAATGTTAAAGCAACAAAGATGTTCTTCAGTGAATAAACTGTGGTAAATTAACTGGATAAATAAACTGTGGTACATCCAGATAATGAAATGTTATTCAGCACTGAAAAGAAATGAACCATCAAACCCTAAAGATGTGGAGGAAATTTAAAGGGATATGATTAAGTCAAAGAAACCAGTTTGAAAAGGCTACATAGTGACTATATGTCATTTTGGAAATGACATTTTGGAAAATGCATAACTATGGAAACACTAAAAAGATCACTGGGTATTACTGATTGGTAAAATGATCAGGGTTAGTGGCAAGGGAGGAAGGGATGAATAGGAGGAGCAGAGAGGGTTTTTAGGACAGTGAAACATGGTGAATACATGTCATTATCCATTTGTCAAAAACCATGGAATGTACAATGTCAAGAATAAACCTTAAACTGTGGACTTTGGGTAATAATGATGTATCAATGTGGGTTCACTGATTTAGCAAGTGTATGAGCCTGGTGGGGGCTGTAGACAGTGGGGGAGGTTGTATGTGTGTGCAGACTGCGTGTATATTGGAAACTCTCCGTACTTTCTTGCTCAGTTTTGCTGGAAAACTAAAAGTGCTCAAAATATAATGTTTATTAAAATGAAAGAGAGAGGCCGGGTGCAGTGGCTCATGCCTGTAATCCCAGCACTTTGGGAGGCTGAGGTGGGCAGATCACAAGGTCAGGAGTTCGAGACCAGCCTGGCAAACATGGTAAAACCTTGTCTCTACTAAAAATACAAAAATTAGCTAAGCATGGTGGCACATGCCTGTAATCCTAGCTACTCAGGAGGCTGAGGCAGGAGAATTCCTTGAACCCAGGAGGGAGAGGTTGCAGTGAGCCAAGACTGCACCACTTCATTCCAGCCCGGGTGAGAGTGAGACTCTGTCTCAAAAACAAAGAAAGAGAAGTGGCACAAAGGTTGGTGATCGAAGGGATAGAACCCACTCAGAAGACCCAAACCCTTGTCTTGCCTGAACCACACCATGCTTCATGTTTTCATTGGTAATACTCTACAAATAAACCAACTGTTCACGTTGGAGTCTAGAATGAGCTGGAGCAGCCTGGTAAGGTTTCACAGAGAAGACAGAATTTTAGTTGGAGAAATTGAAAAGGTTTTGGTGAAGGCAAAGGAAGAGGAAGAAGAGCCTGAGTGGAGAGAAGA